TCTACAAGGTGATTGGTGGGGCAATTGGGCCCTGCTCACATCTGTCTTGTCCTGCTCCACCTGCTCCACCATCCCACCATGGTCCCGCTCTCATCAGGGCCTACTGAGGCAGGCAGCGCTTCCATGCCACCTGCTGCCAGTGCTGCATAACCCACGCCCGCCATGTTCTGCGTCGCCCCTTGGTGGTCAGCGCATGTCATAGTGAGTGGTTGAACTCCTGATCTCCTGGTAGAAAGGACTGCCTGAGGGGACAATTTACATATTAGGCTTTTATTATATAGGATAGTGTGTGTGTGTGTGTCCCTCGTGAATTTATCTCTGACATATGAAATACTTCCACAGGAGAAACTTAGCCTTATTAATATTTATAGCCTTCACTTCATCAAAGTCTGTAGTAACTAGTAAGGGTTCAGTAAATTTTTGTTGAATTAAATTATACAATCTACTCTCTTTAATATTGGTATAGTGATAAACTCTCTGGTCTCCTAGTCCATTTTTCAAAGGTACTTTCTGCCAGAAAGGAAATAGTTTTGCATAATTTTCTCTTTTGTTAGCATCAATCAAATGAGTTGGAGTTTCAGTTCAACTTTCTTATCAAAATGGAAAAAAAATCAATTTTAACAACAACTGCTTCATAGGAATCTTAAAAAGAGTAAAAACTGCTTCAGAAAAAAAAGAAATAATATAGGAGTGTCCTAAATGTCATAATGGGAAGAACATTTATTTTATGCTAGAGTCTCTTAATTCAGACAGATGGTGCTAATGTAAGTAAAATATCTGAATAAAGTTGCAAGCATTTTCTAAGCAAGTCTCCCTTATCTGTTCTGCCGAAATCTAAACTGTAAAAAGGAAAAACTTGGTATTTAGTTGTCCCTAAACCTCAAGTACAATAGTGTCTCAATTAAAAATGTTCCTGAATATTGTTTTTCTTTAGTGAGAGGAGTTTTTCTTCCCCCCACTGAAGACCCGGTTTGGAACCCCCAAAGTGCAAGTCTTCCGGCAACCCCACCATCTGTTCTGGTAAGTGTGTTTCTACATTATATGCCTAGAACCAGGCCCTCAAGCTTCTTCTCTTCTTTGCACACTCCCCTGCTTACTTTGGCATCACGAATTTCCCAAATATTCTCTTACCTCATCCCTGGGACATTATTCTTAGTTGTCAGCTCTTGGGTCCCAAGTATTGGGTTAGAAAATGTAAACTTTCTGCAGCACTTAAATGAAATCCACACCTTCGGCACTGCCAAACTCCACACAGGGAAGAAAACTTATTTATGGTTCATACTTGTTTGGATATAATTAAGCTCTAAGTGTCCATTGAGTTGCTCTCTAAAAGATACACGGAACTAGTTTTTATAGTCAAGACTATAAAGTGATGTACATGGGTACAGAGTATAGATAGATTTTTGTTCTAAGGGTTTTATTGAAGAAATAGTTTAGACTCCACAACGTAAAGAGCAATATGTGTATGAAAATGAGAGAAGGAAGAGTAAAAACATTGGCTAGCTGACAAGTGACAGGGACTCTAAATCAGGCCTCCTTTTAACTTGGGCTAAAAACAGCAGGATTCGCCCTAGCTGGTTTGGCTCAGTGAATAGAGCGTCGGCCTGCGGACTGAAGGGTCCCAGGTTCGATTCCGGTTGGGGGCATGTGCCTTGGTTGTGGGCACATCCCCAGTAGAGGGTGTGCAGGAGGCAGCTGATTGATGTTTCTCTCTCATCGATGCTCCTGAATCTCTATCCCTCTCCCTTCCTCTCTGTGAAAAATCAATAAAATATATCCTTAAAAAACAACAACAAAAAACAGCAGGATTTGTACAGAAACAGCATATAATGGACTTTCCTTTTTGTTCTTACTACCCAACTCCCCTGGGCACGCCTCTACCCCCTCCAAGCCGCCACTTGCCACTTTATAGGGAGGCATCTAGGAGAAAAGACAGTGGCTTCCTCAGGTGCAGTGAAAACAATGACAACAGCCCAATCACAACCACACTAGACACTCACCTGTCTAAAAGGAGCACATGATCTTTTCTTTTTGGTTGATCCTCATCCACGGGTATATATATATTTTTTCACTGATTTTTAGAGTGGAAGGGAAGGGAGGAGGAGGAGAGAGAGAGGAAGAGAGAGAGAAAGGAAACATAGATGTGAGAGAGATACATTGATTGGTTGACTGGGGCCAGATCAGACCTGCAACCCAGGTACATGCCCTTGACCCAGAATTGAACCCAAGACCCTTTGGTGCACGGGTTGACTCTCTAATCACTGAGCACACCAGCCAGGGCGAGCACATGACCTTCTATTATCACTTAGACGCAGGAGGGAGACTCCCTTCCACAGGGATTGGCATCAGATATTACATTCACTTGGTGCTTATTTATTCATTTGTTCATTCTTTCAAATTTATTTATTTTGTGCTTTTAATGTGCCAAGTGCTGAGAAAACTGAGATGAATAAGGTGTGGCCTTGCCTACAAGAAGTTTCCAGTCTGGCGGTAGTAGAGAGACTTCTACACAAATAAAGTGACGCTATCCTAGAAGTCCCTCCAGGGTGCACTGGCGGGGAGTGGTGAGTCACTGTGAACATGGTACACTAGTCTTCCTTTCTGCTAATCACATCCATCTCGGGGCTTCTCTAAACACAGGAGATCTGCGATGGTATTTTAGACTAGAGGCCTGGTGCATGAAATTCATGCACTGGGTGGGGGGGCGTTCTCAGCCCAGCCTGCACCCTCTCGCAGCCTGGGACCCCTCAGTGGGCATCCATCTCACAGTCTGGGATCCCTCTTGCCGTCTGGGACCCCTCGCTCCTTACTGCCTGCCTGCTCGCTGCTCTTTAGTGCTGCCGCAGAGGTGGGAGAGGCTCCCGCCACCGCCACTGCGCTCGCCAGCTGTGAGCCTGGCTTCTGGCTGAGCAGCACTCCCCCTGTGGGAGTGCACTGACCACCAGGGGGCAGCTCCTGCATTGAGCATCTGCCCCCTGGTGGTCAGTGTGCATCATAGCGACTAGTTGTTCCACCGTTCAGTCGATTTGCATATTAGGGTTTTATTATATAGGATAGTATAAAGACAGGAACTTCTGTTTAAGCCAGGGATTGCAAACCAGAGACCAGATGCTGAATTCAGATACAGGCATGTACTTTGGGGCCAAATAAAAACAACAACAACACACATCCAAAATTTAAAAAACCAGGAGATTTTTGCATAGAAATGCAGATTTCTAACTTCCTTTAAAGGCCAGGAATATCTGGTATCATTAATTTCATATTTCCTTGTGGCAGAAAGTGGCTAGAGCTTGGCTGGAAGGGCTGCCCCTTTAATGATGCAGCACTGACTACTGGGGCTTATTTGTGTTACCTGGTGTGTGATTCAATTTGCATTTACACCAACCCCTTAGTTTTTTTAACAGTGATAACTGTAGGGTAGTCATTAACAATTTGAGGAAAAAGTGTTAATAGATGATAATAAAACATGAAAAAAAAAGATTAATTAGAAGTATCTGGTTACTGCTTCTTTTTTCTGGATTTCTCTTTGGCAAACTGTTAATGAGATTTTAAATTTTATTTATTTACTTATTTATTTTACCAAATTTGATTTTTAGAAATTATTTTAAAGGTAAGAGTGTTGGGATATTGAATTTGATGTGTTTGGCAGTCTGAATTGGAAAATCACTGCACAGTATGCTTTCCATAGCAGTAGCAGGCTTTTCAATTGGCATCAGCAGAAGTGAAACTGGCCAATATAATATTAAACTTGTTAATATACTACATTGAACTAAAAGAAGAATTCACGAGTTGAATGTGTTACTATGGGGGCATTTATCCATATAAAAATAAATGAAGTGCTATTCCTGGCATGTATGTGTTCACCCTTCAAAATGTATGAGAGAGATTCATTGCCATGCCATGTTTTTTTAGGGGAAAGGGTACATATTTGGGATAGATGGCCATCCTTCTTTATTTAAAAAGTTGAGTTGTTTACTTCCACATTTTATGTTTCTTACTTGTGACAGCTTTTATTAAAGATGTTGTGTATTGTTTTACTTTTAATTTTTATGAGATGAAAAGCCATTTCGTTTATAGAAATCTATGTATTGCTTGAGGATTTCTTTTTCATTGATAATTCAGCTGCTCTCCTAATGTGTGTCAAGTCATAGGCTCTGTTTGATAAAACTCAATTTCTTAAGTACAGGTTAAAGGGTTTAAGATATCTTACTCAGAATTTTGAAAATGCAGATTTAGAATATGCACGGATGTAAATATACCTAACTCAGCTGAAAGCATGAGTGGCTTAACACATCTCTAGATGTGACTTTAGATAATTAGGAGAAAAAGTGAATTCCCTGGTATGGTATGACTCTCATCATCATCACTACTTTTTTGAGGAACAGAACTTGGTATTGAGCAAATGGCCTTTTTACTTTTGCTTGAATGCCTATATGGCTTTAGATACTAGAAGAAGAAATGGGGAAGGAAAAACTTTTCTTTTATACAAACAGCCTCCATGTTCAACATAGCAGACAATTAAATATTAAAAATGGTCTCTCCCCACCCCGTGTTCACCTGGGTCTTATACACCTGTGCACATGTGCCAATTTGAATGAGAGTGAACTGCGCAGTCAGTTGGTTCTAGTTCCTCCTCTGGGAATCCTTTCGCCCTCTGGGGATATACACTTGTATATCTCTCAGTGAATAGTCAGATATAGTGGGCAAAGCACTGGGATTGAGACCTCTAGAAATTCACAATCTAGTTCTGATCTTTTCTCTATGTTTTGTGACCATAGGCCAGCGGTTCCCAACCTGTCGGTTGCGACCCCTTTGGGGGTCGAACGACCCTTTCACAGGGGTCGCCTAAGACCATCGGAAAACACATATATAATTACATATTGTTTTTGTGATTAATCACTATGCTTTAATTATGTTCAATTTGTAACAATGAAAATACATCCTGCATATCAGATATTTACATTACGATTCATAACAGTAGCAAAATTACAGTTATGAAGTAGCAACGAAAATAATTTTATGGTTGAGGGTCACCACAACATGAGGAACTGTATTAAAGGGTCGCGGCATTAGGAAGGTTGAGAACCACTGCCATAGGCATTTCACTCTTATGAAGCTCAGTTCCTTATCTTTAACAGGCAAGGGTGGACTACATGATTTTTAAGAGTCCTCCTAGTCGAAACTTGGTACTTTATGTTCATGCATATGCACATGCTTAGGCCCCTTTTCCAACATAAGGTGTTTATAAACCAAAGGATGGCCTTATAAAGTGCCCTGGCCTCTGGCAAGAGAAAAGCTGGTATTGCTACTTATTTAGTTTTCTTCCACATTGTGGACTTCAATTTTTTTTCTTTTTATTTATCAGAAATTGAATTCTTACTCTCTTCATCTGGTTCATCCTCTCCTCCTGCCCAGCTTTATTGAGATATAATCAATACATGATATTGTACAAATTTAAGGTGTATAGTGTGAAGATTTGATGTTTATTGTGAAATACTTACCACAATAGGGTTAGTTAACCCCTCCATCACATAATTACTTTCTTTTTTTGGGGGTGTGAACATTTAAGATGTACTCTCTAGGCAATTTTCAAGTATATAACACATAACTGTAGTCACCATGTTGTACATTGGATACCCAGAACTTATCTTGTAACTATAAGTTTGTACATACAATTTGACAAGTTTGTTGAGAACTTTTCTTATCATGAAAGGATTTTTCATTTTGTCAAATGTTTTTTCTGCATATATTGAGATGATCATATGATTTTTTATTCTTCATTCTACTAATGTGGTATATTGCATTTATTATTTTTATTATAATGTATAGTATATACTAGTATGATAAACACATTTTTATTGTTCTATGTATATTGGCTTATAGTTTTATTGTAGTGTCTTTGTATGGTTTTCTTATCAGGATAATATTGGCTTTGTAAAATGAGTTTGGGAGTATCGTCTCCTGTTCAATTTTTTTGGGAGAGTTTAAGAAGGATTGACATTAATTCTTCTTTAACTATTTGGTAGAGTTCACTGGTGAAACCTCTGGTTCTGGGCTCTTCTATGTTGGGAGGGTTTTTGTTAAATTTAAACTCTTTACTAGTAATTGATCTGTTTTTATTTTTTATTTATTTTATTTTTTTACAAAGGGCCTGCATGCAGTGGTAAACCAGCCCAATTGCTTATTTACTTATTAAATTTTTTAAAAATATATATTTTTATTGATTTCAGAGGGGAAGGCAGAGGGAGAGAGAGAGAAACGTCAATATTGAGAGAGAATCATTGGTCAGCTGCCTCCTGCATGCCCCCTACTGGGGATCAAGCACGCAACCTGGCATGTGCCCTTAACCGGAATACTAGTAGAATCTGGGTTAGGGTTAGGGTTAGGGTCAGGGTCAGGGTTAGGTCAGGGTCAGGGTTTAGGGTTTAGGGTTTAGGGTTAGGGTTGAGGTTAGAGTTAGGGTAAGGGTCAGGGTCAGGGTCAGCCTCCCAGTGCAGAGAGCAGAGAAGAGGATCTAGGGTGGTGGCAAATAAAGAATAACCAGCATGGTGACACACTTAAAGTAGGATCCAATTAAAGGAGCACGGACAAGGTAGGAAGTGGTGGTGTCTTTCCACAAAAGAAGATTAGTTTACTTGACAGAGTGCTTTCAGTTTAGGAATTGTAGGTGAAACTGAGGGTGTCTCTATATATACCCAACTAGAGGCCTGGTGCACAAAAATTTGTGCACTGGGGGGGGGAGGGGGGTCCCCCAGCCCGGCCTGTGCCCTCTCGCAGTCTGGGACCCCTCGGGAGATAACGACCTGCTGGCTTAGGCCTGCTCCCGGGTGGCAGAGGGCACGCCCAATCCCTAGGTGCAGCCCCTGGTCAGGCTCAGAGCAGGGCCGATTGGGGAGTTGGGGCGCCGCACCGTCATGCACAGAGCAGGGCGGATCGGGAGGTTGCAATGCCACCCTCAGTCACGCTCAGGGTAGGGCCGGTTGGGGGGTTGGGGCACCGCCCCCTGTCACACTCAAGGCAGGGTCGATGGGGAGGTTGCAG